ACTGCCCCGTGCCTTCAAAAGAGAAATAGAAAAGAAGGAGAAGGCAAGAGGGCAAGAGGACAAGAGGAGAAGATGTGAGGATGTGAGGATATGAAGATGAGAAGATGTGAAGATGTGAGGATGTGAAGACGAGAAGATGTGAGGAGAAGAAGATTTGAGGATGTCAAGATGTGAAGATGTGAGGATGTGAAGACGAGAAGATGTGAGGAGAAGAAGATTTGAGGATGTCAAGATGTGAAGATGTGAGGATGTGAAGATGAGAAGATGGGAAGATTTGTGAAGATGAGAGATGTGAAGATGAGAAGATGTGAAGATGAGAAGATGCCAAGATGTGAGGATGTGATGATGAGAAGATGTGAAGATGTGAGGATGTGAAGATGAGAAGATTTGAAGATGTGTGGATGTGAGGACAAGAAGATGTGAAGATGAACAGATGTGAAGATGTGAAGATGTGAGGATGTGAAGATGAGAAGATGGGAAGATATGGCAAGATGAGAAGATGCGAAGATGAGAAGATGTGAAGATGAGAAGATGTGAAGATGTTTCACAGAACAGACCCCCACTGTTAGAAGAACCCTGGGCTCAGACGCTCTTGGGAATAAAAATTGAAAATACCACTGCAACTTGAGTTAAAACCATGACATAAAACCATGACAGAACTTGTGATTCCAGAGCTTGAGCCGCCATCAAAACGAAGTAGTAATGACACCTTCAAAAAATGCAACTGTTCATTCTTCCACAACTAGGACCCTTGAACAAAATTCAGACAGTTTTTCCTGAATCCAACAGACACAGACACACACGCGAATCACATCAGCACAAACGTTTCTGAGCCAGTGGCGTCTTTGGAGCCACAGCCAAAATGTCTTCCATGCCTTGAAAATGGACAAACATCAACAGCTTCGATGAAGTTGTCTGTGCGTGTTTCTGTCTTATCCCATATTTTGTAGAAGAGTGTAGCCATGTTGATCATTTGCCTCACGCTGCGCCCAATGACATTCCTGCGTCCCGGACCTCCCAGCATCGAAATGGTGAGTGCCTCAGGCAAACTCACAATGAACAACAGCTTCGATCATCTCACATGAAAAACGCATAGCAAATGCAGCCGGGTGTATTCACAGTCTGACAGTTTTCAACACGGATAGTGCCTATGCATATGTGAAACACCCCGACGCAGAAAAAAACACGTGGAGCCTGAGTCCGCGACAGATGCAGCACGCTTGGACAGCTCTGGTTGTGCTACTGTCACTATGAAATACGACCAGTTTCTAGATGATTGCCACCTTGAAACCGCGAAACCATATCTCTAAGTTCGGCGGGCAGCTAGTTGCAGGCCAGCCAGTTATTGGATCCTTTGAAGTGTCTTCACGAATCGAAATCTGAGTACCACACAGTTCGGTCATTCTGACTGCATTTACACACACACACAGACTTATTCACACACACGCACACACTTTTACACACACACACACGCTTTTACACACAGACACTTTGACACACAGACAGTTTTACACACAGACGTTTTTTTACACACAGACGCCCTTAGACACAGGCGCTTTTACACACAGACAGTTTTACACACAGACATTTTTACACACAGACGCTTGTACACCACACAGTTCGGTCATTCTGAATGCATTTACACACACAGACGGTTTTACACACACACACACGCTTTTACACGCAGACGCTTGTACACGCAGACGCTTTTACACGCACACGCTTTTACACGCCGACGCTTGTACACGCAGACACTTGTACACGCAGACGCTTTTGCACACAAACGCTTTTACACACAGACACTTTTACACCAAAGACGCTTTTACACACAGATGGTTTTACACACAGACGCTTCTACACACAGGGGCTTTTACACACAGACACTTTTACACAGACGCTTTTACACACAGACGCGAGGACACGCAGACGCTTTTACACCACAGATGCTTTTACACACAGACGGTTTTACACACAGAGGCAAATAAACACACAGACGCTTTTACACACAGATGCTTTTACACACAGACGCTTGTACACGCAGACGCTTTTACACGCAGACGCTTTTACACACAAACGCTTTTACACACAGACACTTTTACACCAAAGACGCTTTTACACACAGATGGTTTTACACACAGACGCTTCTACACACAGAGGCTTTTACACACAGAGGTTTTTACACACAGACGCTTTTACACACAGACGCTAGGACACGCAGACGCTTTTACACCACAGACGCTTTTACACACAGACGGTTTTACACACAGACACCAAAAAAAACACAGACGCTTTCACACACACACAGATGCTTTTACACACAGAACCTTTTACACACAGCGCACAGAAGCTTTTACACAGAAGCTTTTACACAGAAGCTTTTACACACAATAGCTTTTACACACAGAAACTTTTGAACACAGCACACAGAAGCTTTTACACAGACTCGTTTGCACACAGAAGAAATTGCAATTTTACCGCAGTTTTTGGCGATCGAACCTCATTTCGTGCGAAAGGGTTGCGCCGGACGACGTGGAAATCGCAATTTTGCCTCAGTTTTTCGCGATCTAACTTCATGTCGTGTGAAAGGGTTGCGACGGGAACCCGGAAATCGCAATTTTGCTTCAGTTTTTGACGATCGAACCTCATTTTGTGCGAAAGGGTTGCGCGGGACGACTTGAAATCGCAATTTTACCTCAGTTTTTGGCGATCGAACCTCATTTCGTGCGAAAGGGTTGCGCGGGACGACTTGAAATCGCAATTTTACCGCACTTTTTGGCGATCGAACCTCATTTCGTGCGAAAGGATTGCGCCGGACAACTTGAAATCGCAATTTTACCGCAGTTTTTGGCGAGCGAACTTCATTTGGCGCGAAAAGGTTACACCCGACCCCTTCAAATCGCAATTTTACCGTAGTTTTTGGCGATCAAATTTCATTTTGTGCGAAAGGGTTGCGACGGGAACCTGGAAATCGTTTACATCAGTTTTTGGCGATCGAACCTCATTTCGTGCGAAAAGGTTGCGCGGGACAAGTTGAAATCGCAATTTTACCGCAGTTTTTGGCGATCGAACCTCATTTCGTGCGAAAGGGTTGCGCGGGACAAGTTGAAATCGCAATTTTACCGCAGTTTTTGGCGATCGAACTTCATTTCGTGCGAAAGGGTTGCGACGGGAACCCGGAAATCGCAATTTTACCGCAGTTTTTGGCGATCGAACCTCATTTCGTGCGAAAGGGTTGCGCGGGACAAGTTGAAATCGCAATTTTACCTTAGTTTCTGGCGATCGAACTTCATTTTGTGCGAAAGGGTTGCGCGGGACGACTTGAAATCGCAATTTTACCGCAGTTTTTTGGCGATCGAACCTGTGAAAAGGTTGCATTTCGTGCCGTCTCGTTGGCACTGCCCCTGCCCCCCGCCTTCAAGAGAGAAATAGAAAAGAAGGAGAGGGCAAGAGGGCAAGAGGACAAGAGGAGAAGATGTGAGGATGTGAGGATATGAAGATGAGAAGATGTGAAGAGGAGAAGATGTGAGGATGAGAAAATGTGGTGAAGATGAGAAGATGTGAGGATGAGAAGAGAAAATGTGAAGATGAGAAGATGTGAAGATGAGCAGCTGTGAAGATGTGAGGTTGTGAAGATGAGAGGATGAGAAGATGTTAAGATGAGAAGATTGAGCAGCTGTGAAGATGTGAGGATGTGAAGATGAGAGGATGTCAAGATGTGAAGATGTGAGGATGTGAAGATGTGTGAGGATCTGAAGATGAGAAGATGTGAAGAGGAGAAGATGTGAGGATGATAAAATGTGGCGAAGATGAGAAGATGTGAGGATGAGAAGAGAAGATGTGAAGAGGAGAAGATGTGAGGATGAGAAGATGTGAAGATGAGAGGATGTGAAGATGAGAAGATGTGAAGATGAGAAGATGTGAGGATGAGAAGATGTGAGGATGAGAAGATGTGAGCATGAGAGAGAAGTTGAGATACAGACCCCCACTATTGGAAGAACCCTGCGCTCAGAAGCTCTCGGGAAAAATGCAGCAATTGTGCAAGACTTCCTTCAAAAATGGAAAATTGACGGCCTCGTACCAAAGCGTTTTGCGATTTGTCCATTCCATCTGTTTAAAGTGATGCGCCTGCCACGAAAAAGTGAGGCCAGGTAATGCGAAGTGCTGCACCTGTCACGCAAAATCATCTCAGCAAACCTGAAGATCGAACGCTCCAAATGCAACCCTTCTCAGGAAATCTCCGCCCTGACCTCCTAACATCTCTGGTGAACATGTCTCTTATTGTGCCTGCCACGCGAAATGCATCTTTGCAGATCATCTTCAAATGTCCCACGCCTGCCAACATTCTTGCAACTGCTACAAAACCCGCACGCGCACGTTTTGCTCACTTTTTGCAAGGTGCCGAATCCCTTGCGCATGCCACGCAAAACCACATCCTAACTTCCATAAGTGGTCCGAGACCGTCAGTTTTTTTGTACATTTCACTTCCACACGTGCTTCGCGCCACAACGGCGTGCACCTTTTCGACATCTCAACTTCCAAAAATGCTCCGAGCCTGGTGTGTTTTGTGCATTTTGACTTCGAAATGTGCTTCGCGCCACAGCGGCGTGCAATTTTTCATCTCTCATCTCCCCAGATGGCTCCCCACCCGCCGCTTTTGCGAGCCTACTTTTCGACCCTCCGGAGCCACAAATCATTAGAAAAACAAAGTGAACCGCGTCTTTACTACCTTTTCGCGCGCCTGCATCTTCTTTCTTCTGACCCTTTCTCTTCTCTGATCTTTCTTCTCTTTTCTGCTCTGACTCTTCCCGCCTCTGCTTTTCCGTCTGTCCATATGTCGGAAGTTTGACTTCTAAACTTTCTTCGCTAGTATAACATAAAAACATATAGCTTAATTTTGTTTAAAATAATAGAATAAAATACAATATTGTACAATAATATGTGTGTGTGTAAAAAAAAATATATAAATACATGTAGACATGTTGGAACTCTCGCATGTCGAGGATAGCCGGCAAAGCCTTTCGCATTGCCGAAGTCGAGGCTTGCAAATGTGTACCATGCGCTTTCAGCTTGTGGGCCTACCAGCAACCAGAGAAAACAATCAGTTTGATGATTTCACATGAAAAGTCCAGTCTCCTTCAAATCAAATCATTTCTTTAGAATCCTTTGAAACTATCATTAGTGTGGATGGTGAAGCATCAGAACTCAGTTTGTCAAGGCATATGTGCACAGCCCTCATCATGCTGATCCCTACGCCCATGGCGATGAAGGGTGCCTGGGCAGACTTTCCTACAGCAAACAAACAATATCTTCTAACATTTCAAAGTGAAACATGTGAAAAATCTGTTTGTTTTTGCTTTATCAAAAACTGTTTGCTTTTATCATGCTTTACTCCATTCTTTATCGACCTGATGTGCAGTGACTATGCCAACAGCATCCAGCATCCAACAGAATGAGGCAAACAACTTGTGGTGTGTGGTACTTCCACAGGAAGGGGGGCACCTACAAGAGCGGTAGTTTCAAAGGCATGGACCTGGCGTGTGGTGACAAAGCAGGCAACGTTTTTGCTGGTCTTCTTCTACGGGCAGTTATTGATCCTCTGGACAAACTGATTGAAGGTCCTTGCTTGGTGGTCGACAAAATCTTGGAGTTGAATGGTTTTTTGGAGAGATTTCAAGAAAATTCTATCCCTTTTCCTGTGTTTTCAGATGTTTTCAGCATGCCCTTGTACAATTGACTAGCTGATGCGGCTAGAAATATAGGTTCGGACACCATCGAATTCACCTGAAACAACATTCTTGATTAGGAAAAGAATCGATTGCCGCCTTTGCTGCAGGGCGAGCAGTCACTCGATTCAGATTGGGGGAAACAAACAAGTGCTGCAAATTGGCATATACTGTATGGGGATATAGGGTCATCAGCAGCATACGCGTTGCTGTTCATATCTTTTGTTTCCTCGCAAATGTGTTCTCCAAGGCTGCAGACCTGCCAGCAGTGAGCACGGAAGGAGCCAGAAGCAACATTTTGTTTGGGGGAGGTGTTTTCGGGGCAGACAGACACCTACGTTTTCAATCATTTTCATATTTCAAACAGCCTCTTTTTTTCAATCTTTCCACCCGTGAGGACTTCGCTTAGCGCCTGCAGCTGAGCCTCGCTCCGACCCTGTCCGCTCCTCTGCGCGCGTTGGCCTCGTACTTCGCCACTTGGTGCATAGCCTTGGAATGAAATTCACAGAATTGTTGGAATATGTTGGAATGAAATTCATTCCAAGTCAACAAGACATTGATATGATAAGACAGGATGCGATTTGAAGTATGGTTCTGGGAAGGACAACATTGGCAATGTACTCCAACAGGAATAGCCAAAGAAACGAAGGAAGCGTCATGAAAAGTGGTTCCAAATCCATTCACTGGCCAAAACTACCTGGGGATCCCAGGGTATCAGTTCTACATAGTTCCGTTCTTCATGCTTGGTTATGCTTGGTTCATGGTCACTGTCGTATCCACTGTTCCAGGATGTTGGCCGTTTCTAGTGTCCTTGGGATTGACCTCTAGGCCAAGAAGCCACAGAAGATGCCAAAGGTCCAAAGACTCATATGACTCGAACTTAGTCAGGTGTAGTATGACAGTCTGTGACAGTCTGTGACAGTCTGAAGTCAGCCCAAAACGGCCTTGAATGTTGTTATACTGTACAATGACCAAGGCAAGGCCGCCCGATTGAGTTGGGGACTTGTATCCATCAACTTCCATACTGGCAGAGTGTGCTTTTCATCCGAGCGATCGTATTTGTTGCTTGCAGCGAAACTAAGGTTTTGCACACGTCCATATCGCTTCTCTACAGTGGCCTCACGCTTGACAAAATACAGAAGTGGTTTTGTGGCTACTGCACATCTATCAGGACGTTTCTGATACTATTCTATTAAGCTGAATGCATTGACACAGCTGATGTGCCTGCAGTACTCTACCGATTGCTTACTTTACACAATGTTTGGTTTTCAATTATTCACTTCCCTGGTGCATCATCAACCGCATCTAGGAGCATCAGACGGTGACAAGCTTGGTCTCTCTGATCAAAATTTTGCGAAATATGCGCAACTTGGCGAATTTTTGACTCAGACCAAATCCTGTACTGCAGAGCTATGAGGAGACCCTCAGACCACTCCTGATATCACATTGGTTGTGAGAAATAAGGACAACTTGACAACTTTGAACCGTCCCAAGGTCCCGAGGTACCTGAAGGGTTTCCCTTTTCCTAGCGTGTTTCGAATTGCTCCCTTTCACAAGATGTCGTTGAATAGGGTTCTACAGCAAGGACCGACCCGTTTATGTGAGATTTTACGTCGCGTTGATCTGAATGCATCCGAAAGCGGGGAATTCAGGGTCTCGGCCACACAGCATCTTAGGAAATCTGCAGAGGACGGCAAGTCTAGCGGCGATCCATCCAAGTGGTTCAACAAAAAGATCTCGACGCAGCCACTTGACACGTATTGTCTGCATTGGATTTTGTTGGCAGTATTGGTACTCGATGTAGCTACTCGATGTAGCTGACAAGTTGACAGTGCGGGGCCATTATATGATCTTATATTCTATGGAGAACATTGACATATGTGTCAGGCACAATGTTGCACCTGTCTGAGGCCTGAGCTATGTGAGTTGATCGGAGCTTGCCATGGAGTGCTGGCATCGCTTTGAGCATCGCTGTGAGTGACCCATGCGGCCCATGTTTTTTTTCTTCACTTGTAAGATCTTGTAGAGATTGGAAAGTCAGCAAACCAAAGGATGTTTAGCTCGACATTGATTGCTGCCAGCAATGAGATTCTCGGGTGTGAAAGCATCCCGTGGAATCCCATGTGATCGTTTGCAAACCGAAACCTGTGCTCTGCGGATTTCACATATTTCACACACACAGACACATACAATCGGGAGTTTGCGAGGCTGTGTTTGTATTTTGATTTGGAACATGACTCCTGTCAAGCTCCCGTATTTTTTTGACCCGCCCTTAGCTTGCACGCTGGTACTTTGGGCTTGCAGATGTTGATTAGAAATGGAATGTACAGGAGCACAAGCAGACGTACATACTCACGACATACTGACATACCAAAAAGTATATGTAAAGCAAGATGTACAGTAAGGGGCTGGTCATGATCACAATTCTTGCATTGAACGCAGCTTCAAATGAGTTCCACATGCTTCCACCGGTTCCACCTTGAGATCTAGATCTTTCAATCTTTCATGATCTTTCCAAACGCTCGGGCCGACGCTAGGGTATGGAAAGAGATGGATGTGAGCCTACGCCGCCGATTCTTCAAATTCTTCGACGTGCAGTAGCTGAGTTTGATGTAGCCGATGCCTTTCCGCTACGGTTGCTTTGCAGAGATACCTTGAGGATGGTTGGAGTCCTCAAGAAAATTATTCTCAAGTCAGAAGAACTCCTGATCATGGCTGCAGACCCTTTGAATGAATGTACAGTTGCATCAAATGGATCAGTTGCATCGAACTTTCCGCTTCTAGAAGCGGAACTTGCGGATGCATCAGAGGGTTGTAATCTGCAACCAGTAGGGGGAGTCATGCTTCGTTCCTTGATTTTGCTTAGACGGCTTGTCGTCAAGCTGTCAGAAATCGAGGACGAAGGAGTCAAAGCAGTTGTAGAGAACCTGTGTAGGCTTGATTCTGCAATCACAACCGGCCGTTTGGCCACCTTGCATGCCTTTGCCGAGCGCGTGCGCGCTGCAACAGCAGAAGCTTTTGCAGTGAACATGCTTCTTTTGTCTCGAATTCTCAGCGACTTTGAGACGGAGCTGATCCGCATCAACGTGGCGGAAATTGAATATGCAAAATTTTGTATCCTGCTTAGTCGAATGAGAGCGAATGCAATCAATGATTGTCAATGATATCACTGGATATCACAGGTTCTATATCGGTTGATGTGCATAATTTTTGAGAACTTCAGCCCTTTCGTCATGCCTTGATTGAATTTTAGCGATGTTTCCGAGGCTTGGCATGTCCGAGGAGCAAAGTCGTTTCTTTAGAAGCCATCCTTGCTGTTGAACATGGTGGTGATGAAACACCCCGTAGGCCAAACCGGCGATGGCTTTGGGCAGAGCTGGGCTTGGAAGAAGATGGGCTTGAGCTCTGGTCAGTGCAAAGGCTCCGACTGGAAGCCCATTTACCTGATGTTAAGAGGCTCGGAAGACGGCATCAATGTAGAGACATGTAGAGACTGTGGATTGGACCATCAAACATCAAACGTTTCGTTTGATAAGGGAGCGCAGCAGCATAGAGTAGCATGGAGCAATACGGAGCAGCTATGTTTGTCTTTTTAAGTCGCGCAGGCAAGTGCTCTTTCAGCAGCGCTATGCTCTTGCTTGCCCTGGTGACAAGCGAAAATTTCTGGCAGCCATGGGTTATGGCCGTTCCTTGAAGGTCGCCCTACGAGCGGATTGGCCGGTCATGGCCAGAGTCCCACTTCACCTCAAAGCTTGCGAAGTGTGTATTCACTATTTGGCTCCGACTTTGTGAGGCGTGATTTATGCATCCAAAAAACGACCAGACTGTGTGATGTTGGGTTTGTTTCGCAGATGGATTATTGTACGCGTTTTTTCTGTACCATACCGCATACTCAAGAATTCTACAGTAATTTGAAGATAGTGACACTCGTAGATTTCTGGTCAGAGTGAACTCACAGCTTGTTTCAGGAGCAGAGCCACCACAATGCTGGGGTGAAAATCGATGCGTTTTCAGAAGCTGGTGCCTTGCTGCACAGCAAAATAGTGCTGTGCAGGGCAGGTCAGCGTGACATTTTCGTCCCACTTCGCGTTGAAAGCGCGCGATTGTGAAGGCTGCCGTTGAACCAGAGCGGTACAAACAGCAGCAACTAGATTCTATTGGAAGGAGCCGTGCCCGTTCCTTATTGGTCCATGGTGGTTCCCAGGCCCTGTGATCGATTGTTTTCAAGCCCATTGGTAGCTGGGAACTTGTTCCAGTATATTCCATCCATAGGTTCGGAGACCTTGGACAATTGTAGAATTTCAGACATGGTCAAAGTCCGACTGCCATGGACAAGACGAAAATAGTTGCGCCTCGCATGCTGGAGATGTTGCACAATCTTCCTTGTCCTTGTCGTTCCTTCACCTTCTCAAAGCCAAGTACCAGAGTCGCTGATGTTGAACGAATTTGTGTGACGAGGTCCGACTTGCAGCACGCTACCAAGTGAGTGCAGATGTTCACAAGAGAAGCATCGAGATGTAGCACCCGCGGAAAAAGTGCTTGGCCGCTTGGCAGTTTGCATCCAAAGAAGCCTGCGCTTCGTCATCTTCGGCCAACATGAATCTGGAAACAGATGGAAACAAATGAGAATGTTGTGAACCGACAGCTGCCTAGCCTTTCTAAAGAAGTGCCAGTGAAGAGCTATATAGATGAAATACATCAGATCCACATGTTTCCAAATATTTCCAGATATTTTCCGATATTTCTCTATTTATTTTTGAAAACTGGCTGTCTTTGCAAATTATTTGCGGCAGGACCTGCTACCCTCCGGTATGTATGTCTTGCCATGCTTCGACTCGGTCCTCACCTGGTGCGGATTGCATTGACTTGCAACTTCATTCACTGACTATGTCATATGGTATCCATATTGTTTCCATATTATTACTATTACTATCTATTACTGTATGTTTATGTTTTGCACATGCCAAACACTCATTGATCGGGCCAGGCAGGGTGCCCTTTTTGTCCGACAGGGCCTGTACAAAGGAGCTGTTTTTAAGCCGCATCCACAGTTGCATTGACACATGACATACCCTCTGGTAAACTAACATAGCCATGGAAAATCACCATTTTTAATGGGAAAACTCACTATAAATGGCCATTTTCAATAGCTATGTTAGTTTACCAGAGGGTATATAACGTGTTGTGATATCATGTTGAGCCCGTGGAACATTTTGATGCCTTTCCTCCAAGATCTCCAAGGTTTCGGCTTGTCCTTCCCGAGGAGTACCCCGACCAGGGACCAGGTGTTCGAACCAACAAGATCCAACAAGCACAGATCGATCTGTACTATCTGTACTGTTCGAGTTGTGTTTTGACTGTTGTGACTGTTGTGACTGTTGTGACTGTTGTGACAGACCTGTACTTTACTTCCGATGTTTTCCATCCCATGGTTGGGGCCTCAGAGATGAATTCTCAAGAGATCGGGTCCAAGGGTCATCAAAAAAGTGGGACTGTTTAGGATATTGACGTGTTTTTAGTTTTTTTTGGGTATTGGGAAATCACAAGTCACCATAGTATACTATAGTTCACTATAGTCACTTCAGCATTTTGAGAGTCGAGGTTGACCCAAAGACTGGTCAAGTGGAGCTGGTCTCCCTGTTCCCTGAGTGGTGTTCCTGGCGACTTTTCTCCTGGAGATCTCCTCCTCAGATTCGAATGGGACCAGTCTCAACGGATTTGTGTCAGGCGACCGGGACGAGACTTCGCAGCCTTTGCTTTGTGTGGGTCTGAGGAAACTTTGCATTTCAAGATTGATGCATATTGACACTTCCACTTGGAAGACGTCACCATCCCTGCCGTAACAGCGGCTTTGTGGAGCTTTGTGGAGCTTTGTTGCTTTCTGATTTTGATTTCCAAGGCCTCATTTGCATCGAGCATTCCTGAGGAGGGAGTGCCCTTTGGGAGTGGGAGGGCCATGAACTTCACGGAAGAGGGAACGTGTTGAAGCTGCTACTTGCAAGAGAGACTGTTTGTCTAGAAATATTGCTTGTTTGACCGTTGCACTTGTACTACTATCTCATAGTTGCTTTTTTGTCCAGAGTCTGATCAGAGGTATTTTGCAAGCAGTGCTCGACCTGCTCTCAACCCAGAGGCTGTGAGATCTCTAGGACCTCCTCTGGCATCTTTGGTTTCAATTGGTCTGCATACATCGACTGCACATTTTCCTTTCCCATCATTTTCCCATCATTTTCCCATCGTTTTCGCATCATTTTACCATAGGATGATCCAGAATGCCCCTCAACTGCCCCAACTTTTCCACTTTTCCAGGCAAGGCAGCTCTTCCTGTCGGATCCAGCTGCATTTGCTGAGCGGGTCCATGGCTCAGAGATTCCGAGCTGCCGCTCGGCCGGTGTTCGAACACTGGCCATGTTGAAACAGTGCTTGCTGCTTGCTGATGAGGCCAGAGAGTGTGCCAACAATAGCTTGTTGGATTCTCAGCACCAGTGGGATCATGGAATATGATGATATATGATGGAGACAGGACGATAATTCAGAGGTATGCAGAGATTGGATGAGCCAACATACCAAGGTTTCATGTTTTCGACAACCCTTCAGGGACTCTGCCTGAGCGTCCTTGGCAAATCTCTCTTTGCTTCTGTTGTTTGCTTTTGCACCCTGCAGTTATTTGGTGTGTCAACACCTGTTCCCTGGAGAGTAGCTTGAAGGTCCACTCTGCAGTTTACCAAAGGACCTACCGAGGCCAGTGATGTGGCACTGCTTGGTTCATAGGTTCAGTTTCACTGCGATGTTAAACGTTTGGCAGGCACATGACACCATCGTCGAACATCTGAAGGCTGATCCATCCGCCTCCTTGGAGGACGGCTTGCGGCATGCTGTGTTGACGCGCCAGTTCCAACAAGCTCCCCTTTGAAAGGAACGGAAGACTGCCTTCGTTGATTGGCGCGCCAGATTGCGGTGAAATGTTGCTGTTTTTCTTGCATTCACAAGCTTACATGACCAATGTACATCCCTTGATTTCTGGATCTGCACGCTTCCATCTCGACTGAAGCAGCTGGAAAACTTTTACACTATGCTGTCAGAGTGGCATGGCTGTCAGGTTTTGTGATCACTATGCTCACAAGCGAACCCGGGTGGGTGTTGCCCAAGGAGAGGCGGAGGCCGGTATCATGCTGTATGTGGAATACGAGTCAGACGAGTTAAAAAAAATGAGACGTGTCTGGCAAATTTGCAACTGCCGCAGCAAGGCAGAAACTATCCTTCTAGATGCTTGCGCCCGAGAAAGCATGGCAGAGTTTGCATTTGAAGATATAATACAGTACTGTACATATATAATTATATTATTACACTCATAATAAAGTTATTATATATGCATGTGCGTATGCATATGTATAAATCATGTATATATGGAAATATGAACTTAATATAAATCGGCCTCGACGCTGCTAGGGTTTACTCAGCCTCCCAGCCAAACGCTTGGGAATCTGAAGTCCTTGGTGGTCCGTGAAGCAACTTAAGGCCAAGGGGCAACAAGTGGATGGGGTCTAGTCCTCGAACACTTTTGAAATCGACCACCCCTTCTAAAGATATTGGAAGAATTGCTGAGGCTGGGTATCCCAAAACGCCTACAGCGTCCAAAGCAGCTCCGGCTCCACCTATCTTATCCAGAAGCAGTATTTTAAGCAACCAGTCTGCATCATCTGCACCCAAGAACTTGAGAAGCAGAAGCAGCCATGCAACCAGCCATGCAGCTTCCACTGCCAACAAAGAGGCAGGGCATGGGTGGGTACAGCCGGGTAGAGCTTGAATTGGAAGGTGCTGGTAGGTTGTTGTCTTGATATTTCGCGAGTCATGGTGCTGATATGCTTGGATCATATCATATCATATCATATCATATCATATCATGTAATATCATATTATATCATTATATCATGGTCATATGTCATTTCATATCATATCGTATCATGTTATACATGCTATACATACAGTATCATATCTCTTACTTTTTGTCTACTTTGTCTTCGCCGCGCAGGAATTCTTCTAGCGAGATGGTGGCAAACGGTTGCAAAAAAGTCCAGCTGTTTTCTTGCTGGAGTAGTTTGATAGCACTGAGTTGCACGTTTCCAATCATGCACACCTGATTCTTCATGGAACATCTCAGCTGCAAAGTCTCAAGCCTTCCATGAGTCACCCACTGCAGTGCAGCATGACTTCTTGCCTTGTTTGCAATTCGTAGACTGCGAGTATATATATATATATTATATATATATTATATATGTATATATATATATGTATATATATATATAGTCTGGATGAATTGACGTTCAGGTAGGTGGCAAGCAACCAGTCTGATTTGTGGATCTTTCTGCGGAAGCTGCTAGATTGGTTTCAATATGTTTCAATGAACATCCCTCCCTTTCTGTCAGGGCTTTGCTGATTTGTGAGATGTACCTCGCATTGCGTGATGCAGAGCCATGATGAGTTCTTCTTCGATCCAGACGACGATGAGGATGAACTGGAAGAGGAGTTTTTCTCGGCATGCATTACTCAGGACAGGATTGACAGAAGCAATGAATAGGCATGGAACGAAATGTCTTTAGTTGGTCCAGAAGTGATTGTGAAGTTTCTACATTTTTTTGAATCATTTTACCTGACAAGATGCAAACGTTCAAGAGTTCATAAAACCAGTTCAGGGTCATTGGTGTTCATTGAGTGTATTGAAACTCTGGATGATCGAAATCACAGAATCATCTTTGTGACAGCCTTCCACCGTGTCTTTACGTGGAATGGCTCAAGAGCGATGTTTACTTAAAGCATCTGCTGTACTATTTCCTATCATAAATCCATAATGAGTCGTCGATGACTTTTGCTGAGCACAGCACTTCCACTGCAAGACAGAATGCGCGCACGGTTGATAATCTAGAGTCTAGAGCATTCATGCTCCTGAGCATCCCCAGATATAGCCTGCAGATGCCTGCAGTCTCTCACGGCAAAATCTGCTTCTCTGTGTCTAGGACTCGATGGTGGCTCCGTCAGATGGATTCTTCTGTCGGATGGCTGAGAGACTTCCATTTCTGAACAATGTCATGCAGATCCTGCACATCAGAGCTGGGGATGAGGACTCTGACCATTTGTTTGAGATTCTTCTTGTGAACAAGTTGCATTTTGTCAGGAACAAGTTGCATTTTCTTAAGTAGGGAAAAGTGGTGTGTTAGTGCCTTTCGAGTGAGATATAGTTCATTATGTACTTCCCTGTTTCATTTCGAAAGGAAGGTGTTTCCCTCTCTGGCGAGGAGTCCTTGCAGCGTGCTCGGAAAAGGAATCCCTTTCGAGCTTCTGGGCGTTTGGCGCGTGGTGCAGAGCATGTCCCCTTTCTGAACAACGTGATGCAGGGTTTGCATCGAGTCACCGGCAAATCCGAAGAACTGAGGCGAGCCAGGCGGAAAAACCCTTTGGGGGCCAATGGGTATGTCACCAAACTTGGTGAACATATTCCAGGTTTGGCTGATACAATCTGCTGCATTCACAAGTTCCGTGGCTTGGATGCTGAAGCTGAACGGGCTCGGGCGTTTTCGCTTCACAGAATGGTGGGGCGGCAGGGTGCCATCACGCACCTGGCACAGCTGCTACCAGGGACGAATCTCATTGCTGCTCTCTTGGCCGAAGCCAAGGGGGATCGGAAGGAGGCCATAAAGGCCATGAATTTGTTGAAGAGTTGGCGAGATGTTGCAAGTGCTGATGGGGCCCTTGCCAGAGTGGCTGAATTGTTGCCAGGGGTTGACATCATTAGTTTTGGGCTCATGGTGAATCATGGCCATTTCGCCCATGCAGTTCGAGCGATTTGCAAGACTCGATGGGTCGATGTGACTGCAAAGTCTTCCACATTGACTTTGTCTACAGGATGTGTTGAGGATTGGGTCGTGCAGTCAGTTGATTCAGATGTGATTGTTCAACCTCGAGCCACGTCCCTGGCCAGCGGTCTGGTTGATGTATTTATCCATCTTCTAGACTTTGATCAGCACGGAAATCAACGATGGGTAACTCGAGGCTTAGAGGAACACGAGCTGCCATCTGCATGTGCACGAAAGAAGAGGCGAGGCCTTCGGCGCGCATTTGAAGACGTGAAGATCATGAAGGCGAATCAGGCGATTCACGGCATGTTGGACTACTTGTTCCTTAGCTCGCCTCATTTGCTTGGCTTTTTGACCGAGCTTACCAATTGGGCGGTGTATGAATGGACAGCATCATCCTTCAGCAGTAGATGCACCTTGAGAGCCTTTGCCATTTTCTTCCCACCAATGATTTGCCGAAGACTCCGGTGCCCCACAGCTCCCAGCGAGGGTCTCGCACGTGCAGTGCAAAACTCCTTGCCAGGAGTCACTACAACACATGGTCAAATGCCGGTCAACCCCTCGAACTTTCAGATACCTCTCAATGTCGAAGAGCAAAGCATTCTTCCAAGTGTTTGTGCAGGTGCTTCCTGCATATCTTTATCCTGTTTTGCATCCATGCATTCCTTCCTGCTGCCTTTGGCGTGCTTTACAGGCTGTTTTGCAGGTGTAAGCTTTCTCCGGCGGACGATCCACAACAATCTAACGCGTTGGATCAACCAATTCAACGCCGAATCTTGGAAGTCGATGTCGTCACCGGTGGTGCCACTGGCTCGGCAGATTGAGCAGTCTGAAGAGCTGCCGCCAGAATCAATCTTGGAATGGGCTATCAAAGAGAAGGTCTCTGAAAGTTTCAATGAAATCTTTGAACCTCAAGGTGTTACTTTTGAATGGTCCAGGCGGCTGTTGGAGGAAGTCAGATTTGCTGAGCTTTTGCGGAACTATGTGCTACATGAATGGTTTTCAAGAAGACGTGCTTTAAATTGGCTGCATCCTGCAGTGTGGATCATGCAGTTCTTGGAGTGTCCGCTACGAGGCCATGTTGTTTTGCTTCATTTTGCTTTGTTGAGGCAAGGGTCTCAATGGCTTAGGTGGTACGGTCATGTCCGATCTACAAGATTCTATAGGTCTATTCGACCAACCATACGGGCTAAATGCCAGTCGCAAGGGACTATAGCATCTATAGCTGGAACTTCAAGTTTCATGAATTGCAAGTATTGATGTTACATTATCATGTCACAACCTCTCGAAAGCACCTCTCAGCTTAGCTTGGCCGAGTGAACGAAAGTTGCAGACAGTTCTAGAAAATCACAGATTCCCATAACTGCTGTATCTTCTTCCTACAAATTGTGTCCCTGACAGACTTTCTGAACTCGTCCTTCGATGGTCAGCACGTGCCGCTGGCCACTGGGCTTGATCATCATTTCTTTTGGAAATTGTAAGCACTACGTCACTACGACGTCAGTTGAATCAATTCTCTCAGCATTGCTACATTTCTACACTGTATTGTAGGATATTACGGGATATTACGGGATATTACGGGATATTAAGGGTCTATTTCTGCATATTTCTCCTTTGAGGTGATTCCAATTGAGCTGCCAGCAGGGACCTATAGCAGCGGACTTTGGCTCCCAGAGATCAGGCAGGACCTTTCCGACTTTCTACAAGTGACGGAACTGATGAATACTGATGATGCTGTCTTCATTGCTGAATGACCTGAATGACCCAGGGTCATGTTGGTTCTTTGGCTCCAATTCCAGAACCACCGCTACGCTGCTTGGCTGCGAAAGCTTCCCCTTGTTTTTTTTTCGGCGTTGAAAGTCTGTTTTTTGTCTCAGGTCACGAGCATCGAAGCGGTGGTTGTCGATGGCATGCTTGAAACTTGACTTGGACCATGGAAGAATCGGTTTGCCAAAACACTATATATATATATCCTGAGATGAACTGAGATATCGATTAGATTGAGAGCAAGATCAACATAGATCAACGTTTACCCATGACACATATTGACACATGACCTCGCAGAGTTTGCCAAAACAATGCTTTTTCACTTTGCCAAGATATTGTTGGTAGATGTGGGTAGATTGATAAGGACCAAATTGCCAATGCCGTGAAAGCACAACTCCTTCCTGCAGACTATGATTGGCGAGAGGCTACTTGGCATGGAAGCATTGGCACCGAATGCACCGAATGCACCGACACCTGGCCACAGGAGGATCCACGATTGACAGACTTCACGGAGCCGGTCAATTTGACTTTTGAGGCCATTTGTTTTTCACTTTATGCATCTGTATGCTGTATGAATCACAAGTTGTATGTCTCGGTTGAGTCAGTTTGAGGAGACCAGCAGTCACAATGGCGGATAGATATGCTATAGTCAGATGTTGCTTTGTTTCTGAACCAGTCCAAAGTCTGTTTGTTCACGGTCAACTAAGAAGAGGTTGCTCTCCAATGGGCCAGAGAGGACGGGGCCACTATGATTTTCTTCCCCCTTCGAAATGAAACCGGTTTGGAAACTCGTCCGTTTTCGCATATGTTGGAACCTGCTGAATCGTAGCTGAGATGGCAGGACAAGCTGTACATAGAACTCAAAGACTTGTCGGCATCTCTTCTGCATTGGCAATAAAGCAACGTTTTTAATTAATCGGTTTAAATGATTTTGTCTTATCATTATGTATTGATCCTCCATGGTTTCACTGCCTCCACTTTCCTCCGCTTTCAGAATCCTTCAAACTGAGGTAGGCTTTGTTTGCCGAAATGAAACATTGAGGCTTTTGTATCACTGAAATTGTTGCAGGATTGCAGTGAGCAAAGCTCTCTACCTCTGCAATCCTTGGAAGTTGAACAGTCGGACAGGCTGAAAAGTAGGGTCTGTCCAACAGAAGCAATTGTCAGGTGATCCAAATCTGGTTCTAGCAGGTTGGGCCTTTGTGATTAGCTTGTGTGTTAGTGAAGTCTTGACCTACGGTTTTGGTTTGACTTTGAAGATCTCTTCCCAACATAAAGATCTTGGCTTGCGATAGAATTGAATAGAATATTGTGGTATAAGTGGCACAAGAACCTACTTATGCTCAAGGGGAACTCATGTCATGTTTCCGCTGAAGAGTTCCATCTATCAAGAGGACATAGACAGAAATCAAAACTTCTGCTAAGAATGAGTTTGTTTTGAAACAAACACCTACTTTGTACCAATTCTGCAGAAGCCTGGGAACTGCCCAGGCTTAAGGTTTCACCGTCACTATTGCTTAAGCAAAGTAAGCTGGACAGTTCGAGATCAGAATCCTTCACTCATATATTGCATATTTATACAAGACAAGTGAACCATTATTTGCTAATGTATATGTCTACATATGCATAATGTATAATTTTATATTCTCTTCCAACAGGCTTTGAGGGAACATGCCCACGACCTCAATCCAAAGGTAGAACATTGTACATGATCTCGCGTGGCCATGTCGATGCTGGGCAGTGTGACCCAGCTCACTGGTACAAATGTAGAAGCGCAAAGGCAGGAGTCGTTCGCATTGTTGGGACAAATATCCACATTTTCCAGGGGATGGTGTGACAGATGGCGCTGTTTGTGTTTTGCCACGCAAGCGGTGATACAATGCTTGGTTGCAGTGTTGCTCAGGTCATGATTTCAAACTCTTTCTTCACACTTCTTTTCGACAGGTGGCTGAGACGAGCCCTTGACATTCTCGAATCAGAACCGCAGGAGTCCTTGGAACTTGCAAGGACTTGTCCTCAGATGTCCTGCCGCTTTCCGCTTTCCATATTTTTGATTGATATGTTTGCACCATTTCTTGTTGAATTGCCCAGTTTGTCAAAGGAAAGCTACAAAAGCTTTTGACGCAGCAGCAGAACTAGACAATGCCGCTGATGCTTCTCGTTTAGTGGCACTACTCTCAGGTTTAGTCCGAGCAAAATCTAGCAAATCGTTCCTGAGTTGAACATTGGCCAAGTTGCCAGTAGATTTAGGTAAGTGCCACCTTCAGCTCCGGGGATGTCGAGGACGCCACGGATTTTTTTGGGAATCTTTCCACCGCCGAACGTTGTTCGGAGTGCAGGCAGCCGTCAGCTTGGCGAGCGAACAACTTGAGGCTGCACAAAGAGGCAGCGATTTGATGCAGGTGCCACTACCACCCGGGTGCCAGGAGTTTTTTTTTTAACTTTTTTACCTGGCAGTGCTCCAGGATGCTTTTCGCCAGACAATTTTTGCTACTTCCAGGCCTATGCACACCTTATGTGGGCTGAGCTGATGTTGGCCCTGGGCAAGACGAGCGAGCTTAAGGCGGTAGGGCCGATGGGATGTGTGGTCGTTCTTGAAAGCAGACGTCACAATTTGACGCCTCCTACAGACTGTGACTGTAAGCTATAGGTAAATTTTAGACTGGCACATGACATGATGTCAGGAGCATGCGGCGCAAGCTGAACAAGTATTTCACCGGCATCTGTGCAGCAATTTGCGTGGTGTGCAATACTGGACAAGCATACATCTTATCTCATTGCGTATGATATTTCATATCACAATCGTTCAAAAGGTTGAGAGCAATCAAGTGAAGTACAAGAATTAAGCTCTTTGTTCTAGTCATGAGGGAAGCTAGATACCGGTGGCGGGTGGTTTCTCAATTTTCTATTTTCATGTTGATTCTTTGGTCCAAAAGGGCGTGAACCAGTGCTAGCCAGCACGCCGGTACGCTGGGTCTGCAACCGTGAGAAAAGTACCTCTTGCAGGTCATTAAAGGTGGAACCTAACCGAATCGCGCTTGTACCATCAAATTACCTATGACTCAATATGACTCCACATTGCTGACCCATACTTTTTACACATGCGCATTCTGCATGCATCCACGCCCACCAAAGAACATATATGTTTTTGGGAAAAAGTGAAGGGCGTTTAGCGTTTGGCAGGGCTTTGCCCTATGGTGACATCCTCATCCAGTTAGCTTTGAAAGGTTTGTTAAGCAGTGTCAAGCGCAGCATTTCTGAGGCTGGAAAAGATGTCGTATGTTGCAAAATGCAAGGCAGCTGTAGCACAAGCCTGCATTCAGGACAAAACCCATGCATACCCATGCCATGTTTTGCGAATCAAATCGGCTTCAGTCCACATGTCTTGATCTGCGCGCATGGCACGACTCTGCGAGCCTCTGCGAGACGGCAGGAATGTGACGGCATTGAAAGTGAAAGACTCGCCCAAGAGGCTCGACTTGCTGAGGTGATACAGTAGCTGCAGTTGATAGCTGAAGGTGATCGTAGTAGTCGATCTTGTTTGGTCATGGCAGGTTCTGACTATTTGGCAGAATCTTGGTGACAAAGCTGGCACCGCGGTTGTGGAACTCGGAGCGGTCTTGGCACACGATCTGCCAATCACCTGAGCATTGAACATGGGTTTGTCATGGTTTGTCCGAAAGTCCTCCAATTTTTGATAGTTGATGATTTGATCATGATTTGATCATCTGATCATCATAATTTTCCAATTTTTTGAACGGCCATGAGTTTTTTTTCCACGCAAGGCATGGCACCTCCTCTCTGCTGCAAGATCAGTTAGTGGAGAAGGCCCGTTGAACTCATGCCCGGAGAGGCCAGTGATGTCTTCAACTGCTAGGACCTGTATTATATAAATTTACATACTAATAAAACATTCTTAACGTTACATTATCATACATTCCCAAAATGTCATCATACTTCACTCATTCATCATCATATATTATATATACACGTATATATACCATATATATATAGTTATATATATATAGTTATGATTAGATTAATATGAGTAGAGATGGATTTTCTGATCCCTTTGGAACGGACTATAACAATCGGACTCCAGCGATGCCATCACCACCAGTTCTCGCGTCAGGCAATCTGATGGAGCCGTTAACGAAGGCTTTAGACCTGTACAAAGAGCTGAGATGGAGCAGATACGAGGCCTGGGAAGGAAATGGACGGTCACATTGGCTTCAGTCTTGAGTCTGGACAGAAAGAATTTTCCAATGATCACGATAGCGTTTCGCTGTAATTGCATCATTTTGCATCTTTTGAGTTGCTGTATATTGATACCATTTGATTCCAAGTACCAATGCAACAACTGCATTTTCACAGGCCACCGTGCTGTACAACCTGTCCGAAAGACAGCGCTTCCAGCCCCACGGAGGTCAACTTGCGAACTTGTTCACTGACTTTGTAGTATAGTACATTCAATTGGGGCAGGAATCATGCATTGATTTCTGCTGCGTCATCGAGGCTGAACCAGAAAACTTGTTGCAAACTGGCAGCTGTGATAGGTGCTGTGGCACAAAGGACAGCGGAAGAGGCACCACTCACAGGATTTCAGTAGAAAGCACTAAGAATGAAGAGATCCCGAACTATGTACAGCACTTGCCCACTTGAAAACCAAAGCATTTTCTCATATTTTCTCATTTCTGGCATTTTTGCAGTGTGACAGGCTGTCAGCATATGGAAAGAGATCGGCAACTACAAGGGTGAGGCCAGGTGGAGTCTTCGCTTTTCATCAAGCTTTTCAGTGCAAGCCAAAACACATTGCAACAGGCTACAGCAATGACTGCAGTGGCCAAAGCCATGATTGTTCGCGGACTTGTCTCCGCGCTCTTCTCAGCTAACCTTGCTTGTTTCTTCCAGATATGGCTTTGTCTGAAAGTAGGGGGATACCCAACATGGCATTTCGGAACAAGAAAAAAAATGACGTTATCTGATATACATTCAGATACAGTATCTTCACCGTATCCGACATTTGCCATTCACCCTGGCATGCCGAGGATGCGCTACAGCTAGTGCAGAATCGCATGCAGGAGCTCCGAAGCGAAGAAAACAAGTTCCAGCCTTGGCAATCCGCTGCGGCCGCTGCGCATACATCCATTTTGGGTCTTGGGTGCCTCACATACAAGTCCGGGCATGCAATCTAGAGGTGACAAGGGGAACATGCCAGGATAGACCATGCATCACTTGTGCACAGGTCAAACGGTCAAACTGTGTCTAGGTCAAACTGTGTCTTGGAGTCAATCCCTTGGAGTCAATTCATTTTTTTTTTGGGATTTTTTTGGAGCCTTCTGAACAAATAGTCACTGGATTCAGTTCTTTCGTGTTTTTCCTGTCTGTGGCATTGGCATGTTTTTTTTCAAATGTTTTCGGCGAGAATTATGCTCGTATGCTATTTCCTTTTGACTGTCACAGGGGGTTCTCTTCGAACAGAATTGCATTTTGACTAATTTGATTGAAAAGTGAAGACATTTGCCAAGGAAAAACATCAAAAACAGAACAGCTCTGGAGTGTGTTGGGAGAATGCACCAGAACAAAGAAATTGTCAATGGCAACTCTTGAAGCAACCCCCTTCCTGGTAGGCTCTCATGCTTCTGCATTTACGTCATGTGGTTCGTCATGGTTCGACACCACCTTGTTTCTGGGGGATTTGCTTTCGGCAAGGCAAGCTCTTTCGCAGCTGGGCCCTGGGTGTGTTTCTGTACTCCAGGACCCGCAGTGTCGCGTCATGAAACCGATGAAACCCGCGCAACTTGGCTCCATATGGCTCCGTGACTTGCTGCAGGAATGCGGGGCGAAAGATGAAGCTCTGGCAACGGCTTGGGACTTTGATCTCGGAACGATGCCGTCTCCGCTGTGCCAGATATTGACATTGCCAGATTGCACCAGGCAGAGGAAGTCTTGGGGATTACCCAGCAGCTTGGAAACAGGCTGGGTTGCTTCCAAACATTCGTTCCTTTTTGGCTGGAATTGAGGATAGGTGTGGCAATGGACATGGATGGGTCATCAGCGCTTTGTACACTTCAATCAACATGGGGCAGCATGGGCAGCATGGGCAGCATGGGGCAGCATGGGGGTTGCTTCAATCTAGCATGCCAACATTTTTGCTACGTTATTGAGTTGTTGGCTCTTTGCTCAATGACTGCATGTTCTTGAATTTTTAGCCAACATGATTTGTGGGTGCCTCCAAAGCCTTTGAACACAGACGTAGGATAAGCCATGCTGAATTGAACAAATCAACACACCGACACTGATAGTTAAAGAGTACCTTTTAAGCGCGCACATCCTTCTTAAGACATTTCAAGTCACTTGGCCACGCTCCCCCAGGCATGAGGAAGCCTGGATCTTGCTGAAATTGGCCGAGGTCCTTTGCGTCTCCCAACTCACACTGTATCTGACCATTGCATTGATGCAGCTTTTGTGACGCATTGAAAGCATCATCAGCATCATCTCAGCACTTGGAGGTGCGGAATGAGATGCAGCTCTATCAGGAAGCTCTAAGCTGTGCTCAGGAGGTGCACGTGCAGCAGCTTCGGCAATTCATCGTGCAGAGGTGCTTCGCTTCCTTTGCTTCCTTCGCTTCCTTCGCTTCGAAAGGCACAAACGATCTTCCAGGAATTGGGCGATCTAAGTGGCCAGAGCCTCAGCGATCTCACGACCCTAACACTATTGAGACAGATGCAATTCTTGCGATACCACCAAACAAAAAACCGAAATCATGAAACATCATGAAACCATGAGAAACATTGATAAACCATGTTTGTTCAGTTCGAACCGATTCTAACCAGGTGAAGCAGATGCTATGAAGAGTCTCTCATACATTTACACTGCCAGCGCCCCAGTATCGTCAAGCTGTTGGTCTATTGCTTCACTTTGATTTGCAGAATTCGTATGGACTTCCATTGAATTTGCAAAGCTCATATTGCAAAGGCCAAGAGGGAGGCGCACAAGTCGCCGCATCGTCAAAAGGCTTTGGATTTGCTGAGTACATCCTGCTTGTTTAATGCGTTCTGGGTTAAACAGAAGAAGCTGAACGTAGCTTAACTTTGAAGATCTTTGAATAGGAGTATCGAATTTCTATAGAGGGGTTCAGCTTTTGGATTCAGATTATTCTTTGCCTCTCGTAAATCTTGGCCAGGTCAGTTCGCAACATCAGTGGGCAAGAAGGATGTAGAAGGCTCGATGGACTAGACGAGTCAGACAAACACGGATACTGGTCACACCGGTCCGGCCGTTGTGCTTGCGAAGGCTTCCAAAAAGCACTTACTCAGATGCGTTTGTACCAGGCAGGGAAAGCATCAGCGAGAAGATTGGGGCAAACAATGGCAAACATATTCCAAGAAAATAAGGATGCCTGGGCATTGGAAACACATATTGCTACGATATGCTATGTTTGGCCAGAATCCTTGCACTGAGAGGGACATGTCCTGGAATAAGCTGCTCCAACATCCATTCACCTTGAAGGGCGTTGATGGGCAAGATGTGGCCGCAAGCCTTGGGAGCCTCATGGAGGCTCGTTTGGAGAATGTTGGAGCTACGCTTCGACTTCAACAACTTCATGTGCAGTCATGTGGAGTTTCCTTTCTGTTTGCCACTTCTGTTTGCCAGGATCCTGAGACGTATAAATGGTATGTCGAAGCTTCTGCCGACTACTTCCAGGCTTGCAGCCACTTGCTGCCACTTGTTCGTTCCACTAGATAGGAACAACCGGAAAAGGCCGCTTTCTCCGTGAGGTCAAAAAGATATAGTGATTCCATGCAATTCCCAGCGCAAACTGCGGCACCAAAAAATATCCAGGCGCCGAATCCATGGCGGAATGGTTTGCGCCAGGTCTCCTTTGAAGAGGCCGAATCCATGGTTGGTCGTGCGCCCTTGAATCCGATGCAGCGGGCCACGGCTTTTGACTCCCGTGGTTGCTTGGCAACATGGCCCCGTGCCGCACTGCAACACGAACTCCATGCATCGATCAGAATTTCTTTGACGCAGCTCAGGCTTTGCTGGCGGAGGTGGGTGTTTTGCACGATTGGAAGATGCAGTGCCCGAAGAAAATTGATATGTGAGATGTAAACTCGGGAGCTGCAGATTTCTTTCCGACATGACAGGCGTCTACCTAATGTTTCGCTTTGGTGCTATGGGGCAACTTGTTGGCATTGCTTCCACACATGGAATGGCTCACCTGCACTTGTGATCTTATGCAGCAGGCTTTGCGCCGAGGTATGGTCCGAGCTTTCGCCCCATCCAACAGGGGTACAGACAAGGTCACAAATCTGAAGCAGAACAAGGCTTGAGTCACTTGAGCTTTCAGCCTCTTTCAGCATTCGTAGCTCATTTTTGTTGAATCAACACACAGCAATTCGCTTGAGCTCATTGTTTTCGTCTCAAATATGCAACGAGATGATGATCTTAGATCAGGAAGATTGCGGACGCTCGGACACTTGGGTGTTTCTTCAAGAGATGTGTTGTGGATCCTTGTGGCGCAGGCGATCCACCTACCGCCTTGGCGGTTCTGAGAGATGAAACAGTTGAAGAATGGGAACGTGTTGCTCTTTTGCAGGCGCAAACGCGGACTTTACCAATCCACAGCTGCTTCTTGAAGCTCTTCTCTTGCCGTGTGTGAAAACATCTCTTTTTCTATTTGTTTCTCGCTCTGTCTCTCCCTCCCACTCTTCCAAAGTATTGCAAAGTCCTTTCTCTGATGTCTTTCACAAGCGCTTCTCCTTATTTCTCCTTATTGTTCATATGACTCATATTGTTCATCTTGTTCCCTACTGATTCTTAACTCAGCATGGTCGTTGCATATTTTATAACTTGTCCAAGCCAACGTTTCTTGGGGGAGATGCTGCACCCTGGGCCCACCCTGCCTCCCGCCTCGACATCCCTTTGGGGCCCTAAAGCACCCCTCACATGGCATTTGAATGCATTTGAATGCATTGGTCCAAAATCTTGAACGCTTCAAATCGCTTCAAATCTCTTCCAAATCATTTAACATATTCAGTTTTTTGATGTTTTTTGCACATGGCATCACATGGCAAACATTTTTTCGTGCGATGCTACCTGCACATTGCACATTTTTTTAAAGTAATGGTCGTATAACGTATAGTCTTGTTTGTTTGGACAAGATTGGACAAGTTTGTCTCTGCGGTTTGGAGGCCCATGCTGGAGTGCTTGATGGTGCATTGTAAGTTGGCTCAGTTCACTTTGCACCTCGTGGCACCTCGTGGCGCATTTCTTGGCATCACATCTGCATCGAGGCAAACCACTGCCTTGTATCACGAGAGCTTCACGGGACCCATCTCCGTGCCTTGGCCAATTTTTGCACCGCTTCATGTGGTGCTGAGATAGTAAAAACATGTAAAAACAGGTAAAAATAACATGTAAAAACAATCATAAATATCACAATAATCCATTTCTCAGACAGACAAACCAACCTATTTTTGTTGTCTTCTCACTTTATATGAAGCGTCAACCACTTCTCACTTTGCATTATTGTTGAATGTTTGCTGATGCTGGTTGCTGTCACTTTCTTCTGTACCCCCCTTGAGCTCAATAGACCCCGGCCCTACTTCGGAGCACCCTCCTGGTCCTTTCCTGCCCTTGCAATGTTTGCCAGTCAAGACTTCGGCAGCAGGAAATCCAGGCTCGTTGCCGAAGTGTTGACTGCTGTACCCACATTCCTCCATCATACTCCCCTACCTTCATTCAAGAGCCATTGCGTGATATGAAGCACCATTTTCATACGGATTGTGACTATTGCGACTTTTGCACCAGAAAGTGACTTCATCCAAGCTGCCTTGCACACATATCAATGATGAAGGAGACCGTCCATGCCGCAATGAGTGACGGTTCCGATATGTTGAATCCTGGAACGGCTATCACTTGACTGCCTTCAGTGTTCCCATATGTTCCCATCATTTCATTCATTCCGTACCATATCATCTCATCCCATGTCATTTCTAATATTTTCTAATCATCCACCTGTAACAGCCTGGCACCACCGCTGCGAGGCCTCCTAGCTCCAAGTGTCAGCGTCGGACTGCGGAGGCGAGCGCCATCTGTCCTGAAGAGCAGATTTCGAGCGTTCTTGAAATTGGAGACCCCCAAGAAAACACATAAATAACTTTAAACTAACCAGCAAGGAATCCCAAGTTGGAGAAATACACATGTCAATCACTGATTTCAGCGTCAAGCAGTACTGAAGATACGCTCTACAGACTCTACAGATCAAGGGGATTAAACTGGTATGTTGAAAACATGTGGAACGTACCTACGGTAGGTTGTTATAGAACTGACTGGTAGGTTTCCTTCTGCGCTTCCCTACCTTGGACATGATGTGGAGTTGAACAGATACTACGGGAGGCCAAATGTGGAAATATTGAAATATCTGGAACCTAGAATCTAGTAACATGATCTATTTAGATTTGTCTATAATCAACAAAGTGCAGAGGATTTGTGTGTTTTCAATTGAAGGAAAAGGCCACTGATACCACAGCTAGCCACCAGACCACTTTCTTAGAGCAAGAATATCCAGGTTCAGCTGCCACATTGTATTCTCGGCGACAGCTAGCATGCCCATGCAAGATGCTGGAAATCTATAAACAAGCTGACAGAAAAGCATCAATCATCAATCTATGTCATTGTAAGTCCTTTCCAAAGCCAACATGTGTCTGGTGTCCAGACACAATGGCGCCAAAAGAACTACAAGGAAACGAGAATAACGAGAATGATCGAAAAACAGGATATGCCAACCAGAGATTTGAGTGTTCCACTGCGGCCTTTTCGCCTCAAGAACTTGTAATGAGACATTTCAGAGTCCGAGTGGTTTCTTCTAGGAAGTCCGAGACTGCGCTGGTAGGCATCCATGGCCGAGCAGAGCTGTCTGCCAGCGATGAAAATATTTCAGACTGCAACTCTGCACCACCAGTGATCGTCAAAGAACGTCCCCAGCGTGTTGTGGCTGCAGGGGCCCCTCGCTCATGCTCTCATTCTTCCAGCGATACGCATTTTCGCGAGCGCTTGTTGGAGTCCATGTCTGCCCCCGATGCAGTGGCTCATTTTCCAGGTGATGCTTCGAATGAGGTTGTCGGTGCTTGGAAGTGCAATCCATTTGCTTTGTCCCGGGCCATCCGGAAAAAATGGAGGCAAAAGACCATTTGGAATATGCTGTCGCGAATAGACGAGATCCCGGAACAGGTTGAAGGGATGCTCACACAGACAGCCAGTGACCTCAGCATGCAGGTAGATGGCAGCGTTGTCCAGATGCAAGATCGTTTGCGTGAGGCATCTCCCACTGGTGGAGAGCAGGTGGCAGAGACCCTTGAAATGCTGCCCAGGCATTTTGCAAATTCCGTGGAGGCAAATCTCATGGATGCAGCTGCCTTGCTGCGTCAGACTGTTTCCAGCGTGACCGCAGAGCTTGGCGCCAAAGATTTCGAGGCAGAAGACATCGTGCAAGAAATTCAAGTAATCCCTGGGAAGGTCCGGAAAGTTGCAGATGAAGTTATTTCCCGGGCTGTAAATGCATCAGTGGAAGAACTGCACCAACAGCTTGATGAGGCTTTGGGTGTTCTTAGCGCTTCCTGTGCAGTGAGAGAGAAGGAGCTCTTACAACACCTAGATCAGCTTCCAGTAGTTGCAGAAAAGCGTCTTACAGCTACAGGTGCGGTAGTAGATTCGGCAGAGGATAAGATAGTGGACCTGATGGCAGATCTGAAAAGTGAGTTTGTTCCAAATCACTGGCTAATGGAGGCGCTCCTACGCGCCAAGGCATCCAAGGGCCTGAGCCGCGAAGGCGAAGCAGTTGAAGTAGTGCTTTCACCTAGAGAGATCCGTGCAGAGAATGCAGAGAGATCCGAAAGATCCGAGAGATCCCAAGATGCAGAGAACGGAGAGGCCCTTGGAGAGGTCGCCGATCAGAAGCTGGAGGATTCGAATGCGGAAGAGGAAGCTGACTCTCAAGTGCGGAATCCAGGCAGTTCTTGGGCTGCAACATCAGCAAGTTTTGGACGTTTTTGTTGACCCAGTGACCAGTGTAATTAGCTGCCCAAAATGCAACATGCTGAGAGGGATACAAGGGGTTTATTTTCGGAAGCTGATTCAAGGATAGTTAAAGTAATCACATTTTTGGGTGGGCTTTGAAACCAAGGCTTGGGGCATCCTGAAATGTGTACAAGACCGTGCTTGTTCTTCGCTGCTGGCCAGTGCCAGAACAGAGAAAGTTGTGAATTCTGTCACCTACCCCACAATCGTCGGCCCACACATTTGGACAAGCGCAACCGCGAGCTTCTAAAGAGCTTCTCAAGTGAAGAGAAGCTTGCAACAATTCTTCCAATTTTGAGTGAAAAACTGCAGAAGTATTGCAACAATCCAGCTGCATTCCAACTGCTTCTGCAACTGGAGACTCTTAGTGCAAACTCAGGTGTTGACCTTGAAGCCATGAGTACGACATCAAGTAAACAAACTGCCAAGGGCGAACGAACTCTGAAAAGTGCCCTTCGTGCCGTTACGCTTCGGTCCCTCCTGACATTGCTGTTGCGCACCCTTCCCAAGGATGACCACGTGCGCCATGTTGTCGAGGCCATGATTTGTAGTCTTCGACAGCCTGAGTGACGGGTCTCATTGTCATGGACAGTGAGTGGAATTGATTGACATTGCCTACAAATAGGGAAGATGAGTGCTTCGGACGAATTCGTTCCCGTTGATTTGTTGAATATCGAAATTCAGATTGATGCAAACAGTAGAACAATTGAATTGATTGATAACAATTATGGAATTGAAAGGAATTGAATTGATGTAATATGCCGCATATATCCGCATATGCCTTTGCTTTTCACTCAGCCCTGCAGAGTCCTAGCACCTGGGCTGTGTTTCGGACACAGCCGACTGCGGGAACGATGCAGTTTCAGAAGGGCTGTTCGGCAGAAACATGGCCAACGTCAGGAAAGTCTGAGTCCAATGAGTTGGATGTTGAGAGGACAGATAGGATCAGATAGGATCAGATAGGATCAGATTCTGAAGATTTCTGAACGAAGCTTCTGCGCACTCAGTTTATGCATTCAGCATGGCATGGCCTGTGCCCAGGTGGACTTTCGCACCTGATGAAAGTGATTCGCTTGTGAAAAAGAAAGAATACAGATGAAGACAGATGAAGACAGTATGACTGGAATGACTGGACATTTTGTCGTTTCAAAAAAAGTGTTTTCGAATATTTTCCATCCTTTTGGGATGATGCTTCCGTTTGACTACAACTTGACGTTTTGGCTGATCGGTCCTGATGCATGCCGATTGACCTTACGAACCCAAGCTTCGTTTGTGCCACGAAACCACAAATGTCAGGACGTGTAGGTGAATACTATTGAATACGGGTAAAGGCCTTGAAATCAAGCCAAGTCAAAGATTTCAAGCAGTGATTCAAGAGAATTCAAACTTATATCAGCTTTTACGATCTTTTAAGCGACATGGATTGCAATTCTTCCTCAAATTGGTACTGACCAAACCGTACCAGACCAGACTTTAGACATCTTTAGACATTGTTTGGAAAATGTCCTGTGAGAGCCAAGCCTGATTTGATTCAATAGACTGGAAGTATGCAGCCATGGCCCTGGACGCATCTCCAGTGGAGGAGACATCACTTCAGCTTGCAAACTGCCGGCACAGGATGGTGTTTTTGCAGGAGACGCCCTGTCCAAATTGTGGGAGCAGTGTTCTGGCCAAATGGGTTGCTTGCCAAGATGTTTGAGATGTGTATTTGAATTTGATTGTGATTGTGAAATGGATGGCATTCAACTCCGGTAAGAACTCACAAGACTCACAACTCACAAGGCATTTTGCCGACACTGCGGAATTGCCATTGGCCCAGATCAAAGCTCAAATTCCATCATGGCAAATCGCAGCCTGATGCATTTGAGCCTTCATGTCCGTTGAGGCATTGAATTCTCTCGCTGGTGCACAGCAATCACCTGAGTTGCCAAGTATCTACTGTTTGCCACTGCTATTTGCTTGGTGAAAAGTTTCAACCAACCAATCAACCGGCTATTTTGCCCTTGCATTTGCTGCATTTGGATGCTTTTTGTATTGATCTTTTTGTACATTTGTTGCAGTGATTGCACTGGAGGTGGGAACCTGTTGCAGAACCTCTCCTCCTCAGATCCAGACGACGGCTCCATGCTGCCCTGGACGTCCGGCGCCTCAGATCCGTTGAGAAACGACGCTGTTGGAATTTCTGATTTCTTCCCCAGGCTTCTTCCCAGTCACCGTCAACTCTGCCAGATGCCCAAGCTGCCCAAGCTGCCCAAGCTGCCCAAAGAATCCAAAATATGTCAGAATTTGGTTTCCCGGGAATTTGGACCCAGGACGGAGTCACATTTGCGACAAGATCTTCTGGAGGCCCTGTGCAATTCCCTGTGTGTAGAAATGTTTAAACTTTAATTTAAACTTAAACAGTTTAAACATGCTGGTTGACAGTGTTGGTCTGGTTGTTGAATTTACCAACGTGCATCTCTGATCTCTGATGCAACAGTTGGATCAGCCACGATCAAGCAATCAGCTGCACAGTCCTGCGTTCAAGACTGCGTTTGCACCAGTGCAGGACTACCGGAGGGGCAAACAAGAGATGAGCCTTGAGTTCTTTGGCAAGGAATGTGTGAAGCAGCATTTTGCCAGACAACCATGGAATGACAATTGTAGAGCTTCGCACACCGGCGATGCCTGTAGGGGTCGGGGGAGGGAAAGAGAGAGGGGGATTTCATCTGAACTAGGTAAGAATCGTCATTGTCGTCGTTGTCGTCGCTGTCGTCGTTGTCGTTGTTGTCGTCGTCTTCGTCGTCGTCGGCGGCGTCGTCGTCGGCGGCGTCGTCGTCGTTGTTATTGTTGTTATAGCTGTTGCTGCTTGGTCCTGTTGTCGTTGTCGTTGTTATCTTTGTAGTTGGTACTTTTTGCAAACTCCCCAAAATCGTCAAAGCGACGGTTTTTGCAAACCCCCAAAAAGCGTCAAATAGGCGGTGAATGCCGCAAAAGCCTCCGGCGAGGGCGCTGCGAAGCATTTGAAGGCAGGCTACTGCCCCCAGGATGCCGCAGAAGCCTTTGGCAAGGGCGCCGCGAGGGATTTGGAGGCAGGCTACTGCCTAACGTTGCTTTCTGCAGCCACTAGAAAATCTCTTGGAAAGCGCCCAGCAGATGGCAAAAGTATGGCGCCAGGCGGGCTGCCCTGTACCAAAGTACTGGTTGCTTAATGCTTAATGATAATGCCACTTTTCCTCGGGCGCGCTCCCCCTGCAGATGGCTGGGGTCGGCGGATTTCTCTTTGCTGCCGAGGCTCATTGTTTGAAGTGCTTGAAGTATTATGCGGCGCAGCCTGGCTTTGATGTCAATTGTGAGTCGTGCGGGAAAAATGCTCGTGGTTGGGCAGAATCAAACACGACTTACAACATTCCCAGGGAACTAGACGCGTGGCTCCGTGACAAGAACCTGTAGAAGAGTTGCTGATTGTTGGAGCCGGTAGAAGGTGACATAGTAGGAATTGTCCGCGTGTCACCCGAAGCTGCAGCCATGCGATTCTTTTTGACATCGATCGCATGTGTAAGGAAAAGACAGCAGCTTTGTAGTGGACAGATCGCTGCTACACCTTCAGAATCAATTCTTTGAAATTGCATTTTGTGTGCTTCGGACTGTACCACGGCATCATGGTACCGAGCTTTTTTTTGGTTATATTTATGTTGAAATGTTTAGAGTAAAGTAGTGTAATATCATTTGCAGCATCAGGGTACCGAGCTTTTTTTTCCGAAATGCACGGAAATTTCCTGAATAAAATGACATAACGCATGTCATTCAGATGATCATGGTACCGAGCTGTTTTGATGTAGTTTCGTTGGCATGTCCTGAGTAAAGTAGTGTAACGTGTGTTATTTACGGCATCATTGTACCGAACTTTTGTTGTTTATTTGTTCGTGAAAAGTTCGATCATCAAATCATAGAAATGTGTGTCATTCACAGCATCATAGTAGGGTTGAGTCTCGAGCTTGCAGGTCTTCGCGACAATGGTGCTTTGCTATGTCAAACTCAGGAGTCATGTATTCAGTTTTGAAGTTGAAGAGCTAATACTTTGCGGTCGACTGCGCGCATTCATATGTGGAGTCCATGTTTACCTCTTTACTACAGGCAAATTCGACGTTCCTGGGCTCAAATCTTTCGCGCGGTGTGTGAACATAAAGATTTGTCGCGATGATGTAGCAGACCAAAACATATTTGAGGCGGTTTGAGTATTGTGTGCTAGAGCGGGTCGGTGAGTCGTTGTTCGGCTTCGAAGTGTTCTCAAACATGTAGTCATTGAAAAATTGGGACATATCGCTTCTTCTTCCAATTGTGCGGCCATGTTGGTGGAAGCACTTCGCTCTTATAGGCTCATGGAGGCCGAGAGCGAAAAGCACACGTGCGGCTGGTGTTTTGGTCCCTAGAAATCCAGCTGTGACTTTGGCGCTGGAAGATGTCATGAGACCTGCTGGTTGTGGCGCCTTCAAAGATGTTTTCGTTTTGGACGACCATCTCTTGGTGGTAAAGATGATGCTGAAGGATCGCAATCTTAACACGTGGGCAGATCGAGGTGCAGAAGAAGAGCAGGCGCGGTTTGAGAAATACGGTGACATCCTTTCCAGCCGGATGGCATTTTGTTATGGCCAGGTGTATCTTCAAAGTAGCCGTCCAGCTGGCCAGGGTGGTATTTTGTTCCAAGGAATCAGTTTCTGCAGTCAAAAAGTGCCGCACTTGTCGGCTGCCAATGCGGTTGCGTCCATCACCGTGCAAGAGAAGCTGATGGCGGTCGGGCTGGAGAAGATGCGGTTACTGTTTCCCAAGCAACAGTGCGTGACACACTGTTGCTTGGAAGACAGTAACCGCATCTTCTCCAGCTCGGACTTCGATGAGCAGTATCTTCTAGGAAAGGTTACAGGAAGGAAAAGAAAAAAGACGATCACCGAGAACAAGCGGATGGAATGCAAATTTCTTTTTGCCGCCGAGGCTCATTGTTTGAAGTGCTTGAAGTATTATGCGGCACAGCCTGACTTTGATGTCAATTGTGAGTCGTGCGGGAAAGGTGCTCGTGGTTGGGCAGAATCAAATACGACTTACAACATTCCCAGGGAACTAGACGCGTGGCTCCGTGACAAGAACCTGTACAAGTGTCGCTGATTGTCTTGGAGCCGGTAGAAGGTGACATAGTAGGAATTGTCCGTGTGTCACCCGAAGCTGCAGCCATGCGATTCTTTTTGACATCGATCACAGGTGTGTTAGCAAAAGAAAAAGACAACAGCTTTGTAGTGGACAGATCGCTGCTACACCTTCAGAAACAAGTCTTTGAAATGGCATTTTATGTATTGTTTCTTGGAAGTTTCTATGGTAAAATGCTAAAACAAATGTCATCCACGGCATCATGGTACCGAGCTTTGTTTTGTGTATTTCTGTTGAAAAGTTTAGAGTAAAGTAGTGTAACATATATCATTTGTAGCATCAGGGTACCGAGCTTTTTTTGTCGATTTGCATGGAAATTTCCTGAATAAAATGACATAACGCATGTCATTCAGATGATCATGGTACCGAGCTGTTTTGATGTAGTTTCGTTGGCATGTCCTGAGTAAAGTAGTGTAACGTGTGTTATTTACGGCATCATTGTGCCGAACTTTTGTTGTTTATTTGTTCGTGAAAAGTTCGATCATCAAATCATAGAAATGTGTGTCATTCACAGCATCATAGTAGGGTTGAGTCTCGAGCTTGCAGGTCTTCGCGACAATGGTGCTTTGCTATGTCAAATTCAGGAGTCATGTACTCAGTTTTGAAGTTGAAGAGCTAATACTTTGCGGTCGACTGCGCACATTCATATGTGGAGTCCATGTTTACCTCTTTACTACAGGCGAATTGCACGTTCCCGGGCTCAAATCTTTCGCGCGGTGTGAACATAAAGATTTGTCGTAATGATGTAGCAGACCAAAACATATTTGAGGAGGTTTGATTATTGTGTCCTAGAGCGGGTTCTTGAGTCGTCGTTTGGCTTCGGACAACCCGCCAAAACATTGCATGAGTTCTTGTGCGCTGTCGATGTGATGCTTTCAGCTGTTGTAGAGCCATTTTTGACATTTGAAGAAAGCAAAGTGTTTGTGCATTTCACGTATGATGTTTGAGTTCGCTCTGCAATTTGTCAGGGTGAGAAGCAGCGGTTGAGTCTTGAGCTTGCAGGTCGTTCTCCAGGGGATGGTACTTTGTTATCGCGAGCTCAGGAGTCACGATCCCAGTCTCGAGCTTCAGCACATATACTTTGCGTTCCTTCATGGGAATTCATTGTTTCATGTCCAGACCATGTTGATCTCTTTGCTACATACATGTGAATTAAACATTCCTGGGCTCAGATGTGAGCAAATGGACAAGACGAGATCCACGCATGGGGAAACAATGTACCATGAAAGTGTAGGCACGCGGGACAAGATATCCTCGACGGTTGTTGCATTTCTCGAGGTTTCTGTAGGGACTGTCCGTGAGATCTCGAGATTTGAAACTGCCAGATGGTGTTTTCTCAAACATGTAGTCGTTGAAAAATTGGGACATATCACTTCCTCTTCCAATTGTGCGGCCATGTCGGTGGAAGCACTTCGCTCGTATAGGCTCATGGAGGCCGAGATCACGGATCTCGAGATAACATGGCGAAAGTCTTCCAAAAGAGCGCCGGCCCAAGCTTTGATCCTCGGAGCAAACGTGCGGCTGGTGTTTGGGTCCCCAGGGGATCCGGCTGTGACTTGGACGCTGCGAGATGTCATGAAACCTGCTGGTTGTGGCGCCTTCAAAGATGTTTTCGTTTTGGACAACCATCTCCTGGTGGTGAAGATGATGTTGCAGGATCGCAATCATGACACGTGGGCACATGGAGGTGCAGAAGAAGAGCAGGCGCGGTTTGACAAGTACCGTGACATCCTTTCGAACCGGATGGCATTTTGTTATGGCCAGGTGTATCTTCAAAGTAGCCGTCCAGCTGGCCAGGATGGTATTTTGTTCCAAGGAATCAGTTTCTGCAGTCAAAAAGTGCCGCACTTGTCGGCTGCCAATGCGGTTGCGTCCATCACCGTGCAAGAGAAGCTGATGGCGGTCGGGCTGGAGAAGATGCGGTTACTAGTTTCCAAGCAGCAGTGTGACGCCGAGACGTGGTCCGAAGTCTGCCAGGAGTACATGAGCATGTTGGAAGTGTTGTTCGAGTTCATGAGAGAAGGCATTTTTCCGTGGGACGCAAAGCTGGACAACTTGGGCATCGCGCAGAGGGGCGTGCGCGGCAAGTGGGTGATGTGCGATCTGGATGGTTTGCGTGCCGTGGGCGAGGAAGACAAATACAAGAATTTGGGAAAAGGGATGAGAATGATTTTCCAGAACCTTGTCTGGCAGGATCACGGATTCATTGACGGACTGCAGGCAAATGGTTTGATGCGGGATCCTTGGCATGAGCAATTCCTGAAATTGCTCGACCTGGTCTCCACCCACCTCGTGCATAATCAATTGTGCAATCGGTATTCAGATCGGAACCGATTGCTTGCGTGAAAATTTTTCCTTTTTTAGTTCTATTTTGCTACCCCTATTTTATTTTTTAACAATATCAAAGCGCGCGAGGTTTCGCCCAGGAGAGCCGACGGAATGGACGAATTTTCAAGAGGCTGTGTCAGCTATGGCCCGTGATCTTCCAGCAGTCCGTAAGAGCAATTTTCCATACCCTTGGCACGAGGACAAGCTTCCACGAACACAGGCTGCCGGTGCTTCTTCAAGCTCTTCTTTTCATCCCGGCGTCGCTCAGCAAGGAACAGGTGCTGGTTCGCAGTCGAATTCGACCAACGCTGCGGATCCTTGCACTGATACCCCTCACTGTGCTGGGTTTGATGCTAAGCATCGTGGAAAGACTGCTAAAAAACTGCTCGAATACAAGTTTTTGTATTCGGCGCACGGCAGATGCGTTCAGTGCATGGATTACTACGCGAGGCAGGCAGGTCTTGATGTGACCTGCAAATCTTGTAACATGAGTGCTCGCGAATGGGCTGCCAGTTCCTTGGGTGGCCGGAAGCGTGCGACGGTACCCATCCCAGATGATGTCGAACGATGGCTGAAACGCCACAACTTGTGAGAATGTGTATATGGTTTGTCTTGATGGCCAGCATTCCACCCGCATTGAAAGAGACTGTTCGTGATGCGTGGTGGTTAACATAAGTGCCATTTAGAAATCTGAAATGCATCAAACATCAAACTGGACAAATTCCTGCATTTGAAGTATCAGAATTTGATGGATGAGCTTCAGGTGCTGCGCACGGCAGACGAGGCATCCTTGGAAGTTGTCGAGGAAGCTGCCCGAGATATCATGGCCTCTTATCCACAGCCTCCCACGGACACCAGTGAAGAAGAACATTTGCGTGAACTGCAAGGATTAGTGCTGGAGTTTGGGGATTGGAAGTGTTGTGATTCCCGTGACAGACAGCACATGTTGATCTCAAGGTTTAGAACTCTGTTTCTGAATTTGGGATGCAACGAAAAGTCGTGCAAGGAAGTTTCGTTGCCTTATTTGGAGAAGGAGCTGGAGAATCTGGAATCGCGCGGTGACTCAGTCCGATTCGTTTCGAACTTGAGGTGCATTCTTCGGGATTTGAAAGGTTGGAGATTGCTCTGTGAAGGCAGACCCAGCACAGAAATGTGTGATGATACTTTTTGATGCAAAATGAGTTTTGATCCTCTGTCTGCAAGCGATGAAGACTCGGATCGTGAGGATCCGACACCGTGCTGCGATGCTCCACATTGCAAGGACTTCGATGAGCAGTATCCTCTGGGACAGGTTACCGGAAAGAAAAGAAAGAAGACGATCACCGAGGACAAGCGGATTGAATACAAATTGTAGAGCTTCGCACACCGGCGATGCCTGTAGGGGTTGGGGGAGGGAAAGAGAGAGGGGGATTTCATCTGAACTAGGTAAGAATCGTCATTGTCGTCGTTGTCGTCGTTGTCGTCGTTGTCGTTGTCGTTGTTGTCGTCGTCTTCGTCGTCGTCGGCGGCGTCGTCGTCGTCGTCGTCGTTGTTGTTGTTGTTGTTGTTGTTATTGTTGTTATAGCTGTTGCTGCTTGGTCCTGTTGTCGTTGTCGTTGTTATCTTTGTAGTTGGTACTTTTTGCAAACTCCCCAAAATCGTCAAAGCGACGGTTTTTGCAAACCCCCAAAAGCGTCAAATAGGGGGTGTTTTCGCGATTTTTCACATTCTCGGAACAAAAAAACACCGTAAATACCGATGTTTTTGGCTCCGCGCCAACGCAAAACCAGGGTATTTACGAGGTTTTGAGCCTCTGCTAGCAAAAATAACGGTATTTACAGTGTTTTGTGGCCCGGGCCTAGCAAAAACACTGGTATTTACGCAGTTTCCAGCATGTTGTCAGAAGCTTTTTTTGGATGCCAAAGGCACAAGCACATTGTAAATTACAGGATTTTTACGCGTGGACAGTACCAAAAAACTATGAAAAATTGACCAAAAATCGACAAAAACACGCCCAACAAGGACCTCCAAAACGCATCTTCGAATTTTACCCTCTTTTTTCCCACCCCGAGCCCCGAAAAACGTGAACACCCCAGCAGGCTGAAGGATTTTAGGGGAGGGTCGGCGGCAGGGGCGTGCCCCCGGGTAGCTAAAGCTATGCTTATCTTCCACCACAAACGGCGAGGCATCGCCGGATTTTAGAGCTGACGCTCATCGTCGGCTCCGCCGGATTACTTGACCTCGATGTCATCGCAGGGTGGGCTTGAAAGCTATTGAATGAGGACCTGCTGCTTCAGAAATATATTCCTTATGCTTTTTTGAACAAAATTAAATTCATGGAATCATGGAACTGCGTTTTTTTCTTGGAGCAAGTGGGGAAGGCGTGTTCCCGAAAGCTCCTGCGAAGGTTTTTCCCAGAGAATTGCTGCCAATTTCAACTTTCCACTTCGTGTAAAAGCGCCTCTGTGTAAAGAGTTCTCTGTGTAAAAGCTTCTGTGTGTAAAAGCTTCTGCGTGTAAAAGCTTCTCTGTGTAAAGACTTCTGCTCTGTGTGGAAACTTTTGTGCGTAAAAGGTTCTGCGTGTGAAAGCTTCTCTATGTAGAGATTTCTCTGTGTAAAAGCTTCTGCGTGAAAAAGTTTCTGCGTGTTCAAGCTTCTCGGTGTAAAGAATTCTCTGTGTAAAAACTTCTGTGTGTGAAAGCTTCCGTGTGTAAAAGCTCTCTCTGTAAAGACTTCTTTGTGTAAAAGTTTCTGTCTGTAAACGCACATGTGTGTAAAAGCTCTCTGTGTAATTACTTCTCTGTGTAGAAGCTGCTGTGTGTAAAAGCTCCTCTGTGTAAACGCGTTTGTGTGTAAAATCTCCTTAGTGTAAAGACTTCTCTGTGTAAAAGCTTCTGTGCGTAAAAGCTCCTCGGGTGTGTGAAAGCTTCTCTGTGTGAAAGCGCGTCTGCGTAAAGATTTCACTGTGTGTAAAAGCTTCCGTGTGTAAAAACTCTCTGTGTAAAGGCTTTTCTGTGTAAAAGTTTCTGTGTGTAAACGCGTCTGTGTGTGAAAGCTATATATCTGTGTAAAGACTTCTTTGTGTAACAGCTTCTGTGTGTAAAGGCTCCTAGACGTTTGTGCTAGCGGGTGGAAAAACGCGCGTGTAGACGTGCTACGTTTTGAATATGTGGGTTGGGTGGGGTGGGGTGGGATATTAACGTTCATGTACCTTGCGTACATCCGTGGATGCTACGCTGCTGCTACGTCACTGGTCAGGGGTTGGGTGGGGTGGGGTGGGATATTAACGTTCATGTACCTTGCGTACATACGTGGATGCTACGCTGCTGCTACGTCACTGGTCAGGGGTTGGGTGGGGTGGGGTGGGATATTAACGTTCATGTACCTTGCGTACATCCTTAGCGACCCACAAACTTGGTCGCAAAAGCATCTTGGTGACAGACGGTGCCCCATGCCACCCTAAACTGACCTCTGAACACAATCTGCTTCATGAAGATTGCAATCATAGTAAGGGCATCTTCTGCATCACCAAGAAAAGCACTGGGGAAACTTGCTAGTGCACACCGGTGGCATCGATGGAATGTGGAAAAATTCCAAAGGTGCAGTATCATCCTCTTGGAGCACACGTAAAGATGGTGCTGTGAACCCTCAATTGCTTCAAGGAATAAGGATTTGGCAATGGCGATGGCACCATGGAAATTCCACTGACTTCCTCAGTCTCACAGGCCGCGCTCTGAGCAAACGCTTGGAGAAGTGACACGCCAGCGAAGAACAAGGAAAAGGCTTCCAGCCCGCCACAACCACAAAACCCTGTAAATACCACGACATTCCTTCAAAGTCATTCAATTTTCCCCGGGAGAATTTAAGGTAATGTTCATCATAAAATGTGTACGGCGCCACAGCGCCAGAAGAGTTTCTTTTCAAAAAGTGTTCAACCGCTAGCGCGGTTTCCCACCCGCCGGGACGTTTGTGTGCAAAAGCTCCTTAGGGTAAAGACTTCTCTGTGTAAAACCTTCTGTGTGTAAAAAGCTCCTTTGTGTAAAGACTTCTCTGTCTAAAAGCCCCTGTGTGTGTAAAAGCTTGCTGTGTGTAAAAGCTCCTCTGTGTAAAAGTTTCTCTGTGTAGAAGCTTCTGTGTGCAAACGCGTCTGCGTGTAAAAAAACACTCTGTGTAAAGACTTCTTCGTGTAAAAGCTTGTGTGTAAAAGCTCCGAGACGTTTGTGTGCAAAAGCTCCTTAGAGTAAAGACTTCACTGTGTAAAGCCTTCTGTGTGTAAAAAGCTCCTTTGTGTAAAGACTTCTCTGCGTAAAAGCCCCTGTGTGTGTAAAAGCTTCTGTGCGTCTCCTCCATCCAGCTTTCTTTCGGGTCACGCTGTGGTCCAGTTTCAATCTGCAAGATTGTTTCTTGTGGAAGAATGCCAAGAACATGTGAGAGCATCGCCGTTTAAACATTGAACATAAACAGCGCACAAAGTGCTGTCATTTACAGCATTTTGCGCTGTCAGATGGCAAGAACCCGCGTAAATACCACAGTTTTAGTCCCCGAAAGTGGCTAAAACACTGTTATTTACAGGGTTTCGTTCACGTCACGATCTTCGATTTTTTGAAAAACGCGTAAATACCAGGGGGTTTGGCGCCCTCACGGGCAAAAAGCTGCGTAAATACCAGCGTTTCAGTGTCCAAAAGTGGGCAAAACACCGCTATTTACAGTGTTTTGTGCTTTCCACGTTTTCTTGAAATTGCAAAAAATGTGTAAATACCAGCATTTTTTGCGATCAACCCGCCAAACATGCTGTAATTTACAGTGTTTTTTTTGCTTTGCTTTCAAAAACACTGGTATTTGCTGTGTTTTGTGCATCTCGGGTCCAAAAAGTATTTGTATTTACAGCATTTCCTTCGTTTTTGCATGGCTCCCGCAAAAGACGGTAAAACGCAAAAATGCTATAATTTACAACATTTTGTGACTTTCGAAAAGCGGAAAATTGTCCGACAAATGTGTCAAAACGGCGCTTTTTCCCGATTTTAGGTACCCTCCAAACGGGGGGGGGGAAATGCTCTTGGAGACGCTTATGAGCGACCCGGATTCCGTCCAAAAAGCTCTCCCCCACCCTCCTGAAGGATTTTTGATGTTTTTCGGGGCCCGGCGTCGGAGGGTCGGCGGTTTGGGGCGCGCCTCACCATAGAGCTCTAGTCGCTCTGGGACGCTCCTGACGCATTTGTCAGCGTACTCGTGGGGAGCCGGCGGAGCCGAATTTAAGGGGCTGACGCCCAACAGCAGGCCAGCAGGCCAAAAGGTGCAGGGCGATCAGCATCATCAGCAGCATCATCATCATCAGCAGCATCATCATCATCATCATCATCATCATCATCATCATCATCGCCATCATCATCACAACCATCATCATCATCATCATCATCATCATCATCATCATCATAACAGCCATCATCATCATCATCATCATCATCACCATCATCATCATGATCACCATCATCATCATGATCACCATCATCATCATCATCATCATCATCATCACCAGCCTCAAAACGAACAACAACAACAACAACAACAACAGCAACAGCAACAGCAA